ATATATATATATAAGCCAGCCCAGACCAAATGTTAATGTGGACAATATAGTTAGGAATAAGAGATGGGGCATCAGTGTTGCAACAAACAGAAAGTAAAGAAAGGCCTCTGGTCTCCTGAAGAAGATGAGAAACTTGTCAAATACATAAGAACCCATCATGGCCATGGTTCTTGGAGTTCTGTTCCAAAACTTGCTGGTACTTGTATACCTCATTCTTGATATATATTTTCCTTAATTCCTTTAAATATGTTTAATTTGCTCCTCAACCTCTTAATGAACACGTATCGCAGGGTTGCAGAGGTGTGGTAAGAGCTGCAGACTGAGGTGGATAAACTATTTAAGACCTGATCTCAAAAGGGGCCCCTTTAGTGCACAAGAAAAGAATATAATCATGGATCTTCATCGAATTATGGGTAACAGATGGGCTCAGATAGCCAAGTACTTGCCGGGAAGAACAGACAATGAGGTGAAGAACTTTTGGAACTCCTGCATTAAGAAGAAGCTCATTGCAAAGGGGATCGACGATCCCAACACTGATAACCTCATTTCATTAAACACATATCAGATCATGGACAACATTTACACCGGCTGGTCAAGATCTATGACCACCCAGCTCAATTCACGTTCTTTGTCATCAATCCATGAAGTTGTAGCCACAACATATGAAAACCCAAACCTTGCGGATAACATTTGGACAACCAAAGAGCAAATTCCACATTCAATAATGCCAATGTCCTTCACGCCATTTCATGAGCCAGCATTGACAGGGGTGGGACAAAATGAGTGCTTTTGGGGTACTGAGTCCACAATAAATGAAGCAATGACCCAGGTGAAGCTTCATGATCAGGAGAAGGCGATCGGTTGTGAACTTACAGAATCTTCACTAATGGAATTCGTCTCAAGCAGCTATGATTTTGAGTTTGTGGACTCTACACTAATCACTAATGGCTTGTGGAGTCCAATGTAAATCAACTTTCGTGGTACCATTAATTGCTAGGATTACCCTTCTTTTCTTTCCTTTGATGTCACAAAAAATACATTTGATGGTGAGATTCCTCCCCAGCTGGGAAATTCACTTTTGCTTGAGAGGCTAAGACTGGGGCAAAATCAATTTACTGGAAGAATCCCATGGACATTTGGGAAAATCCGGGAACTAACATTATTAGACCTCTCAGACAATTCACTCACTGGATCCATAGCAGCTGAGCTTATGCTATGCAAGAAATTGAGTTATATAGATATGAAAAATAACTTTCTTTCGGGACCAATACCGTCTTGGCTGGGTAATTTGCCTCGGTTGGTAGAAATTTTTCTTTCATCCAATCAGTTTTCTGGGGCTCTTCCTCCGCAACTTTTCAACTGTACCAAGCTGCTGAAGCTCTTCCTTGATGGCAATTCCCTTAATGGTACTCTCCCTGATGGAATTGGTAAGCTGGAATCACTTAACTTCCTCAATGTGAATCAGAATCAACTTTCAGGGCCAATCCCTCCTACCATAGGCAAGCTGAGAAACTTGCTTAGTCTGCAGCTGTCCAGAAACGGCTTCGGTGGTGAGATACCTACGGAACTTGGGGAACTAAAGAATCTTCAGAGCATTCTAGACCTCAGCTACAACAATCTCTCAGGCCAAATTCCACCTTCTATTGGGGCGTTGTCGATGCTTGAAACGCTTAATCTTTCTCACAATCAACTTGTAGGAGAAGTCCCTGCTCAAGTTGGTGAAATGAGCAGCCTGGGCAAGCTTAATCTCTCCTACAACAATCTTCAAGGAAAATTAAGCAAAGTATTCTCACGTTGGCCTGCTGAAGCATTTGAAGGAAACTTAGATCTTTGTGGAAGCCCTCTTGCTGGTTGTAAACTCTCAAGTAAGCAACAGTCAGGCCTGAGTGAATCATCAGTGGTGGTAATATCCGCAATTTCAACTTTGGCTGTAATTGCTCTTCTGGTATTTGTGGTAGTAATCTTCTTGAAACAGAGGAAAGAGTTTTACAGGAAAGCCAGTGAATTGAACTGCATTTACTCTTCAAGTTCTTCCCAAGCACAGCGAAGACTACTGTTCCAAAAAGGAGCAGGCAAGAGAGAATTCAAATGGGGGGACATAATGGAAGCCACAAACAATCTCAGTGATGAGTTCATCATCGGCTCTGGGGGGTCTGGTACAATTTATAAAGCTGAATTGCCAACAGGAGAAACAGTTGCAGTGAAGAAGATTACATGGAAAGATGATCTTATGTCGAACAGAAGCTTCATGAGAGAAATCAATACACTCGGGAAGATAAGGCACAGGCATCTGGTGAAGCTGGTGGGTTGTTGTAGCAACCAAAGAGCAGGGGTGAATCTATTGATATATGAGTACATGGAGAATGGAAGTGTCTGGGATTGGCTGCATCAAGAACCTGTGAATATAAAGAAGAAAAAGAGCCTTGAGTGGGAGACCAGGTTACGGATTGCAGTCGGATTAGCTCAAGGGGTGGAGTACCTCCACCACGATTGTGTGCCAAAGATCGTTCACAGGGACATAAAATCAAGCAATGTGTTGCTGGATACCAACATGGAAGCACATCTAGGGGATTTCGGTCTCGCAAAAGCATTGATAGAGAACTACGACTCCAACACAGAATCGAGCTTATGGTTTGCTGGGTCTTATGGTTATATCGCACCTGGTACTTATTCGTTTGAAGCTTTTTAGTATACATATATCTGTTTTTATGATAGTTTCTAACTTCAGCTTGTTACTGCAGAGTATGCATATTCATTGAAGGCAACAGAGAAGAGTGATGTTTACAGTATGGGAATTGTGTTAATGGAGCTTGTTAGTGGGAAAATGCCAACCGACGCAACCTTTGGAGTAGACATGGACATGGTGAGGTGGGTGGAGATGCGAAAGGAAATGCAAGGCTCTGCCCGCGAGGAACTGATAGATCCAGCAATGAAACCCCTCTTAGCTGGGGAAGAAACTGCAGTATATCAGGTGCTGGAAATAGCATTGCAGTGCACAAAAACTAGCCCACAAGAGAGACCATCTAGCCGGGAAGCTTGCGATCAACTGATTCACATAGTCAACAATAAGATGGTTGATTTTGACAAGACGAATTTGGATCCTTATGCATGATCCTTTCTATCAGTTTCGAAGGGTTTAGAGTCTGGGTTGAGTCGGTTGACAATAAAGGGTCTAACGCAAATTGCCATGTTCAGACAAATTTTCCTGTATGGAAATTATCTGTTGGAAAATTGATCTAAAAAGTGAAAAGGGCCTTTGCGGCAAATAGTTTCAGCTGAACCAAGCACCAAATGATTTTTTGTTCAACCAATCTTCTGTCCAGTTGAATGAGATTATATTATAGGTAGTTGTGATGTTTTTATCAGATTCAACTTTATAAAATTTTCAATTTGCATTTGTAAATCTTAAAGTTCAAAAACTGCATACCGATCAATATGCAAACCCATGTTTCATCAATGTCACTACCATCCAACAAAATCCATGCACGGCCGGCTGCTTAAAAACATTGGGCAAGTTCTTTAAATTGTTTTCCCATTATTACAAGAGGTACAGCACCAGTTGATTCGTCTTAAAATTGCCAAAACTTACATTGAACTTAAAAAAGAAAAGAAGAGAAAAACGTTGAGAAAAGAGTTAATCACCTTGAAAACAAGGAAGAACTAAATAAAATCAAGCATTTGCAGACTTGCTCAGGGCAGGAAGATCTTGTTTGAAGATACTAAAAGCATTACTCATCTTCATCTGCAAATGAAAGAATATGTTAATATAACTATAAGCAGGCAGGTAACTAAGTCAATGACAGAAGCACTAATACAGACCAGCTAATGAAAAAGGTCAAGACCTGTCCTACATCACCTAGATTGTCAACAAAACCAAGTAATGGAGGCATAACTCCTCTGTACAAAAAACATTATCAAAGTCCTAAACATAATTTTATTATCATAAGAAATGGGGTGATCAGTTCATGTCAGGAAAGCCATTGCCTCCTGAACATGCAACCTAAACTTGTTTTATGTATTTATAATTATAAATGCAACCAATAAATCAGCAATATGATAACAATTTCTTCCTGCAATTATAAATGAATCAACAGAATTAAACAATAGAGAAACTTATGCCTGCATACCTTATGGAATGCAAAGGTTTAATCATCAGAAAACAGTATAACATACAATGTATGCTCCACTAAGACTTACACCAGTGATAATAATATAAGCTTAGGAAGAATAAAAGAATCAAAATAAAGTACAATACTTTTATTATTATTACAATTATTTTTGGAACTGAGCCAAGAGGACACCAACCCCACATTTGCTAATACTTGAACCTCTTAAGACCTAGTTGGATTAGGTTTTACTCCATTGTTGCTCCAATGGATCAGTTCCACAGGCAAGATGACAAACTGGAACAAAATGTCCAAATGAACATTCTAAGAAAGGAACACACAGTCAAGCACTCAAAGCCCATTACATGTTCGTTTTTACTAACTGAAACACATTTGATAAATAAAAATATGATGCAAAATGATTGTAGGATAATTCTCTCGCATATATAGAATTGGGACGAGGGTCATAAATAAGAAGAGGGAATTAAAGACAAGAGAAAACAGATTAGAGGAAGAGATGAGAAAATGCATTTCTGGGCACCAACATAATGCCAGTGACTGGCAAGATTTGTAGGGTGCAAAGATGAAGCTAAAAGAAATGGATTACCAAAGAGTGGCAAGAAGCCAGGAGAGAATCGATTATAAAGTCCTCTTTCTAAATGTAATAGCTCCATTCTATCTCATTCACAGCTCTCACCCAATATCTCTCACTACCTAAATTTCTGAAACAGCAGCCTCCTAGTCTTTGAGGAAAAAATAGAATGACGACGCAACACAGAGAAGTGACTTACTAGTCCACAAACACAGCACCTAAAGTAATATATATTTTAAGTCAGACAGGACTTAATAAGGTATAACCTTCAAGTGATAAATCTTACCAATTAGAATTCAATCAAGAAATTATTACAAGCAGAAGGTTCTACTCTCTGATTCCGAAGTCACATAGCCACAAACTCGTTATCAATTCCAAAGGGGCATAAATTAGAGTTCCTGAGGGATCCTAACCAAAAATTGTAAAACCAGTGGAGGTTGTTCTAGTCTTAAAGGCAAATCCAGGGTATTAATCTATTACATTTGGAATTAATTAAATTGCAGGCTGCATATGCATCAATTAAATTTTAACAAATTGCGGGTTGCATATACACTAAATCACCCAGCTACCAGTATCTTTAAAGATAGTGATAAATACAGATTCATAGCTTGTTCCTGTTTTTTGAAGCTCCAGAGTAATAGTAATTTGACAGAAATTAGAAAGTCGTGAAATTGAAACTCTGGAAACAAAGATTTAGATGATAAAGTGATCGATTGAAACAGTACCGAAATAGCGGCGCTCGTTGGCTTCCTTGGCCTTCTGGAGCATCTTGTCAAGGTCTTGCTGGAGCTGAGCATCCCATTTGACAAGCTGGTTGACGAAGACGGAACCAATCCCCATCCCCAGCAAGTGCTCCCACGGATCTGCGGCCACAAAATCAATCGGAATGCAATGCGAGGAAGAATAAGATAAGAATGAAAAAAGTTAGGGTTTAGAAATAGGAGATGCAGAGTGCGTACGGCGCATGTAAGGGAGCTTGCGGAGGGCGTTGGAGTACATCTGGGTTCCTAGTCCCAGCAAAGCTCCGATCACCGTAGCGCTCAGTGCCATGTCTTTTCCCCCTTTTCCGATCACAATAGGAATGTGTCGAGCTCCACTTCTTTTTCCACTGAGAGAGAGAACCCGCAGGCTTTTCTGTTTCTCTGTGATTGCCTAAGAGGGTTAGATGTGCCTGCATGATCTTGCCACGTGTATCCTACCCCACTGACTAAAAATAACTATTTTACTTTTTAAAATTTTTTAAATAATATAAAATATTATAAATTTATAATATAATGTACTAATTTTTTTTATTAAATTTTTTGATCATATTATATGTATATTTATTTAATAATATATTATACTTATTTAATAATATCTCATAATTATCTAATTACATAATTGTGTTTAATTTTAACCAAAAGAAACAAATTTCAATTCAATGAAGTCAATCACCTATGCCTTTTTAAAAAAAATAAAATAAAATCTATGTTTTTTTTTAAGAGTATATCTATACATTTTGTGATTTACTCTTTCATTAATTATGTATTTTTAACATGTTAAAAAAAATTATGTATTTTTAACTGAAACTCTTTCATTGGTTTTTTTTTTTAACTGAAACCCTTTTTTTTTTGTTTAACAATACATTTATTATTTTACTAATGACTTCTTGATTTAAATAAAATCTTAAGTTTAACTTTTTATGAATAAAGAAAGTGCTGAAATAAATTTTTTTTATGAAATTTGATACGGGTTTATTTCAAATTAGTCAAATATTAATGTGACTATTAAATATCAAAATTAGTATAAAAAAATGTTTATTACCCTCAAATTTATTGAACTTAAAATCTTTATATTTTGATTATAAAATAATTTTTAAATTACTATCTATCTATAAAAGATGGGTTAAAAGAAAAAAATTTTACACTTAAAGAATAGTACTACTACGTTATTATCGTAACACCAATATTAAATACACATCGAGTGTGGCTTTACGGGCAAAGTTTAAGTTTCAGTTTTGTGAGGTGCATTGTAAAGATAATTTAGAAAGAATTTATTTTGAAATATATGTAAAGTTAATTTTAAAATACCTTGATTATCTAAACTAAAAAAATATATATGTTATAATAATATTATTATTATTATTTTAATTTTTTCATAAAAAAATAATATTTTAATTATATTAAATTATTATAATAATAAAATTCTCTTTAAAATTATTAAATAAATACTCAATAAATTTTTAAAAAAATGTATACTAAAAATAAGTTAAATCTAACATATATTAGGGATCACAATATAAACTTAAAAAGATTTGATTTCTTATTAATTTTATTCATATTTTTTATTATAAAATTTTACTTGACCTTTCTTTAATATCTTTCTAATTATATAATAATTGTCAAAAAAATAATTTAATATAATTTTTAATTAATTATTAATACAAAGGAATAAACATTTAATCAAATCCACGACAGACAAAATTTGTAAAATTCACCCTAAGGTCTAGTAATCCTATAATTTAGTGTATTTATCATTATTAAATGTTTATACTTACTTTAGTATGTAAGTTGGCAACATCTTTATGCAAATTAAAAATTTGAAATTCAAATCCTTGACATGCATGTGTGGTAGGTAAAAAAAAAAAAATTTAAAAATTATCTTCTACAATTCAAGATTAAGAAAAAAATATATCTTAATGATTTAAATAATTCAGTAGTCATCTCTTTCCATTCCATTGGAAGTAAGAAATAATGAGTTCGAATCGCATAATATACAAGTGAGGTAAGATAAAAATAAAAGATAATTGTCTTTCATTATATAATTAAGAAAAAAAATGAATGCATTTTTATTTAAAAAAATGTTTTCTATATTGACCTGGAAAAAATGCTAGTGAAATTATTTTTAAAAAACCTTAAAAAATTCTTTTAGAATTAATTGATTAAGGATATTTAATTATTTATTTATAAATTTTGTACTTCTTTTTTTTTTTTTTTGACTAGTGAATCTGAAAATCGGTAACCTCAATGTTTGTTATGGTATGCACATCTCTTTATAAAAATGGTTATGGCATGTACATCTACAATTTTATATTCACCTACCAAAAACAATCTCTCTTTTTTTGGCATCAATTATGGACCCTACGCCTACCCTTTAGCAACGGCTCAATGCTAACGTCTCTCCACCAAAACTCTGTTTCATAATCACCAAAATTTTCTCCCTCTGTTTCCTCTGCATATCAGTTTTTCAGTTTCAGCCTCCACCAACCCAAAACAACATCCAACACCCTAAATACGGGTGGAACATTGTCGTCTCCCTCCCCCGATTCTGCTTCTTCTCTTTTTCTCCCTTTGATTTTTCCCTTTTCTACCATAACTCTGCTTTAATCGGACCGATTGAGCAATCTCTCTTCCAACCCCATTTTGATTCTGCTCCCAAGGAGATGGCTTTCCATTTCCCTGTCCTTGTTCTTCATTGATGTTGCTTGTCCTTTACCTTCAGAATCGTTAATCAATGGCTTCTTCTCAGATTGAGGTTGTTGCTTCCTCCCCTTTCGGGTCCGTTCTCAGGGACCGTAACCGCCGAGACCGCTGTCGGGAAAGTAACGTTAGAGCCGCGCAGGCAGCTTTTGAGAAGAATCTCAAAGACTTGGTCAGGGATCATCTCAACACCTGCATTTCTATCTCCGATCAAAATTCCGAGAATCAAAACGCTTGCATTGATTCCTGGATCGCTAATGGTCACAGAAACACCAACCGTCGAAATTCCCACAATCGTAACAGGAGCACCCAAAGGGACGCTCATGTTGGGCAGTCCCAGTCCCGTATCATTGATCGATTGGCTGCCAGGCAGGCTCGAGAAATAGTTTCCACCACTGAGAAACAAGCACAGGAGGCTGAGATATTGCTTTCTTCGAATACAACTGCTGCCTTGACTTCTACGCCACCTCATTCTAATGCGTCATCTCCAACCCGATCGGAGACTTCCCGTGCTTCATCTCTTGTTCAGATATGGGAGGCACGTCTGAACCGAACAGTGTCAGGAGGCAATCCTATGAACTTGAACCAGTGCCAGACCAGCAGGACAAGCTCCGGATTGAGCTCCCTTGAGAATTCACCCCCACATCCCGTTATGGAACCCTCACCCCCACACCCTGTTATGGAACCCTCACAAAACTCTGAATTATATGAGTCTACAGACGAACGAATGGACATCCAGAGTAACAATGAGGACAGTTTTCCGGATTGGGAATCACAGTCTGATAGAACGGTACTTAGTGAAGCTCCTTCTTTGATAAATGGAGAGAGGGAAAGAGTCAGAGTTGCAGATATCATCAAAAGATTGATTAATGGTAGTGAAGATGGCATTGTTCAGGAGCAGGGTAATAATGTGAGTGATCAATCACCACCTAGGAAGCGCAGGCATATTCGAATACCGGAGAAAGCAGAGCAGGGAGGCTTTGTACAGGTTTTGTGTTCACCCCGGCTAAGAGGCAGACAGGCATTCCATGATTTTCTTATGCATATGGAACGAGAAAGGCAAAAGGAGCTAGAATCTCTTGCTGAACGCCAAGCAGTCTCCAAATTCCCACAGCGTGGCCGCATTCAGGTAACCATTCCCAAGTGTAGTTCTTTATATATCAATGTATGATATGTATATGGAACTAATTAATTGCTTATAATTCATTTCATTATCTCTGAGTGCAGTCAATGCTCCGGTTGAGATGCCTGCAGCGTGGCCTGGCAATTTCACTTTCATCAGGAGCTGAAGAGAATAGAAACCGTCCCAAATCAGCAGGAGCTGAAGCCAAAGAGTTACCACAGGGGTCTACCATCATGCAACTTAGGTATGAATGTGACACTTTTGTCTTCGCTTCGTCACCACTGTTTTTGGATTTATATCATAGTCATCCATAGATGGATTTATGTAATTAAATCATAGTCATTCAATACTAATGCATGAGATTATGTCAATGAAAAAATGGCACATTGCAATCATGGAGGGGATGGAATATTGCTTACTTTTTTGAGTCATCGTGATCCTTCTGCCTATATTGGTTATTGGGTGTATAATTATTCAAAGTAATGCCTTTGCAATTCAATCTGTTGAAAGTTTAGGAAATATCTTCAATACTTACCTTTTTGATTTGTTCAACTGGACGTTAGTTATGGATGGTCATTTTCATGTGGTGCCATACGTAAGGAATCTCAATTAAATGCAGGGAGAAATTTAACACAAGCAAAGAGCATGTCATGACAGCCCCAAGCCATGTAGCCTCTGCAAGACACTATCGCCTGGAGACGGTAAACAGCACCCTACGCTCAGACATTCCTTCCACTTCCAACCCACCTAGTGAAGAAGGGCAGCCAAGTACATTGCCAAGGCAGCCTCCTGTTGCTCCATTGCCTGAAAAAAGTCATCCTGATGGAGATCAGACAACATTGCCAAAAAGGCATACAGTGCCCCCTTCAAATGAAGAGAGTTATCCTAAAAAAATGTCTTCGACCAGGCATCAAATTAAATTGCCAGAATTTCCAGAAAAGCATTCAGTGGAAAATAAAAAAGAATGTGTTGTTGAGCAAAGGAAACCACATTTACATGTTGCATTCCAGACAACCAGCTTGGAGGCTACAAATCTTGACTCCCAAAAAACAACAGAAGCCTCAACTTCCTTGAATGGTCAAGAAGAGAATCAGATAGCCAGAGAACAAGATGCTCCAAGCCAGCAGCATCTCAATCTTGTCTCACAACCAACTGTAGAAAGAGAAACAGTAGCATCTTCCGATGGTCTAGCTTGGAACAATGAGATGGCTGAAGAAAGAGATGCTGATAACCAGCAGCATCCCTATCTTGACTCTCAAGAAATTGTGGAGACAACAACATCCTTCAATGATTGGGATGAGAATGAGATGGCAGAAGACGAGGATGACTACTACCAGCAGTATTTAGTACAAGCAAATTATAACTGGTTTAGTGATATCACTAGGCCAAGAAGTTACTGGGAGAATCGCAGGCAAGCATGGTATCAGGAGGTGCTTAACACCACTTCAGAAGATGAGGAGATACGTCAACTTCTTGAAAGGTAAACCTGCTTTTGTTCTAATTTCCTCTGTTTTTTCCTATTTGTTAACTTTTAATTTGGTATGTAATTACTAGCTAAAGTTTAATTAAAATTTGTGGATATACAGAAGAAGGGTGTCAACTTTTCTTTCAAGTGATTTCCGAGACAAAATGGATCGGCTTGTGTTGTCTCGTGTAGAAATGCAAGCAAAGCAGGGGGAAAGTCAAGAAGATGAGCCTGATGGAGAAGAAAGATTACATCAAGTGATGTCTTACTTAAGGAGACATTTGCATGATTCAGGTAGTCAAGGAGGAGAAGAGAGAGATGAAGTTGAAGAAGAAGAAGATGAGGACGAGGAAGAGGACGAGGATGAGGAGGAAGAAGAGGAACAAGAACAAGAAGGTGGAAGCATAATTAGTCACCAATCTCATGAAGCCACTGAATATTGTGATCAATCCTTACCATCCATACTGCCTCCACCATCTCTATTGATGTCATGGGGCTATCAAGATGATAATGAAACCGGCAATGATTCTGATAGGGTTCCATCCAGATCTTCACCTGGCCGTCCGCCATCACAAGCTCAATCTTTTCAGGGCAGTCAACTGTCATCCTCAAATAGGCCTTCACTGGTGAGTATCTAATGTTATTTTCTTCCTCCAGATTTAATATTCCCAAAGTTCTCTTCAGTGAATTAACTTTGCTGCTTTGGCAGGAAATGGAACTCATATGCGACTTAAGAGGAAACATGGAGCTACTTCACCGTGAGATGGCTGAGCTAAGGAAATCGATTCTGAGCTGCATGGATATGCAGATGAAATTGCAACAGTCCTTTTATCCGGAGGTTAAGTCAGGTGAGGAGGGGAATTTTGCCTCTTATTGATTTATGTTTCATAGTCAGTAAATGACCTTCTTAATGAGTTAAGTATTGAATAGTTATTACAGTTGGAGGGCAAGGGAAAAATCAACCAAATAGAGCACTCTTGAAGCGTACTTGTTGTATTTGCTATGAAGTGCAGGTGGACTCACTTCTGTACAGGTACATAAGTCTTTGTTTTGAGTTTAGAATTCCATTTTTCAAAAGAGGTAATACTGATGTTAGAATTTCATTGTCTTTCAGATGCGGGCATATGTGCACCTGTCTCAAATGTGCCCAAGAATTGCAATGGAGTAGTGGAAAATGCCCAATATGTCGTGCTCCTATAGTAGATGTTGTGCGGGCATATGTGGAATCATAGAATACCAGTGAACGAGTTCTTGCTCCAGAGGACCGGCTCTGCATGCATACAAGTTAACTTCATGAACCTTTAATAGGAACGTGGATACTTATTAACCATTCTTTCTATTTCCTATTCCGTGCTCTCTAGTTTATATACTGCTCATCTAATTTAACAGCTTACATGCTTTCTCTTTAGTACATATACTTCTGTATGTGTTTTTCAGGGAGAAATTACATTCAAAGCACCTTATACTTTTCTTTCAGTTTTTTTTTTTTCCTCTCCTGTGTTGAATCTTCTGTGCATTGGCTCAGCTATGCACTTCCTGTAAATAGTATCTCATGTCACATTCAAAAATGATATAGTTTTTTTTCTTTATGAAGTTATCTGATTATTTTGTTTCTAAGGAGACTTGTATTCTCTCAATGGTACCTGGATACAATCACTAAGCAAGAATGATGAATGGGAAACCATTAACACTTGAAGAGTTCGAGATTCAAACATTAAGTTCTTCACACCTCAGGATATGATGACACAAGCACGTTAAGCAAGGGTTTCTCCTTCTGATATGTGTTACTTTGTATAATCCATTTAATACAAAGGAATCAGAAGTACTCTTAAGTTTGTAATATTCAGCTTCTGCCTTCTGCCCCACAAAATGATGATAATGATGGACCATACACCTGGGTCCTGGTCCATTGAACACTTATTGCTTATTGGGTCCAAATCAATACTGAACATATAATATGAATAGTCTCTTTCTTACTCTATTCCTCTTCTGATATTGCTCTACTTTTATTTGAACAGATTTTTTTTTCTGTCATACAGAATGCTGGCAATGATAGATTCCAGCATGAAGGTCCATTACCTTCCCATATGTAGGGCAGGGACAAGGGCTAAAAAGCAAGCCCTGTCCTTTCAATGTAATTAAGATTGTTTTATAACAGCTCACCAGACAGGCATTTGTCAACAGTTTTGTCATCTTTGATTGTCAATATGTGTATCATTGAGATGCAAGTGGACTTTTTGAATCTCAAAGAGCATGAGACAATCTCAGCCTTTTAGTTTCTGTTTTGTGCAATAATAATGCAATTATGAAGAAATATGTTGGGGAGGTGGCCATTAGTAGCCAAAAGAAATGCCCATTGATTCCCGCCTCATAATTCATAAATTGAAACCACATAGAAGCAACTTAATCCCATTCTAGGGAAACATTTGTGTGAAGCCTCAAATTGTTACAGGGAATGAAATCTCAAGTTTTCATGGCCTCTATCTTACCACTACGCCATGTCTCCATTGACCAAATTATCTTTATCTTGGAAGTAGGACATTCATGTTTCTTCATATAACCTGAATTGTAAAATTCTGAGAAGGTTACAAGTTTTATTATCTTACCAGATAAATGGTCAATATCAACACCCAAAAGGGACTAACTATCAATAGCACTTTTAGAGGTTCACATGTTAAAGCAATGTGTTCTGCATGAACTTTGTCTTGGATTATTGGGACAAATATGTTGGGAGAAACACATGGTTTGTTGTGGTTCAGTATCAACTAAAGAAGACTAACATATATTTTATTACATATTTACTTTTTGGGCAAAACACAATCTACTTCATGTCCAAGTTATGTGTTTAGAATTTGGTTGAAAGCTGAAAGACCTAGAGCAGTAGATTGAACATTAAATGGATAGGTCCTAGGTTTAAACAAGTACAGGTGATCAGTAGATTGAACATTACATGGATAGATCTTACCGGTCAGCTTTTTGAGGAACAGATTTCAGCATGTGCATTTGGATTAAATATGCAATTACAGGATCATTAACAAATCTAGCATCACATTTAAATGGGAAACAAATGGGCAAGTACCAGGCTGTTTATGGACAATAAAGCAGCAAAAAATGTTTAATGCTCATGATTGAGCCTTATCTGTCATCTCTTACTAAATTTCCAAATCTTGTTTTACTAGTAGTTGTTATTAACAACACCATTTTCTAAACTCCAGCCTTGATACCAAATAAAATCTAGTATAGTGAAATTGGAAATCCTCTGATCCTAGGTGTTGGATTTTTATTAAAAAAAAAAAAATCTGGTTATGGAGATTTTAACCACTAGTTTGATTATTTGGACAAATTCAAGAAAACCTTGGGACTGATTTCTACTATGTAGCTTTCAATCTTTGATAGTGATTCTACAACTTCCTCTATTTTCTTAAACCAACTAAGCGTGGAGAAAAGAGGCCGGGTCCATGACAAGGTTGGCAGTGGCACCACAACTTTCTTTCTTTGCTTAATAATTCTAATCCAGGCCCAGCAAGGATGGTGTCACTGTCATTGTAACGCTCACAATAGGAAAAGCAGTACGCCGGTGCCCCTCACCACATGTTGGGTGGCATTGTCAGCCTGTCCCTAGTCTGCATTTTATATGCCCTAAATCCTTTACAAAACCCTCCTCAGTCCTTAAGTCCTTCCCTCACCTCCTAGTCCAAACAACAAAATGTGTCCCTCAAAGCCTAAGCTGCTTAATCCTACCAATGTTATTGCTGAAATTATTGGTCGTCCGGTCCTTCAACCCACTTCCAATCAAGTTCCTAACTTTAAGAATAAATCAGCAAAACCACCAACTTCACCTGTTTCCAAAGGCATGACTAAGCCTTCTTTTTCACCTCCAATCTCTCCTAAGCTGAAGTCACTCAGACCGGTGGCACCTAAGAGGGCAAAGGATCCTAATGAACTGAGCTCTAGCTCCGAGAAGATCAGCACACCATGCAGCACTGTGAAGTTGGCAAGTGTGGTTAAAAAACCAAAAAGTGCTTCCATTGAGCTCCCAGGAAGCATTGCAGCAGCCAGGAGGAAACAAATAGCTATTATGCAAGTTGAAAGAAAAATGAGAATTGCACATTATGGTAGAAAGAAGTCTGCCAAGCTTGAAAAGATGGTGGTGGAACTAGATACAACAGCCAAAAGTAAAGCTAATGTGAGAGAGAAGAGGTGCAGTTTCATTACAGATAACTCAGGTATGGAAGAATTGAGATGTAAATGCAGTATTAATAAGTCAGATGTTTTTGGAGGTTAACATATGTTTATGGTATTCTCAATTCTGTACTGCAGACCCTATCTATGTTGCTTACCATGATGAAGAATGGGGAGTTCCTGTTCATGACGACAAGTGAGCTCTCTATCTCTCTCTTAAAAATGCAAAAATTAAACTTGAGAGTTTTTGGACTCGAATACCAACGAGTATCTAAGCTAAAACTAATTGGCAATAGAATAGCTAGAGCTGTATTACACTTACGTCCACAGGTTTTCTTTTAACTAACCAATTAGTCTGATTGTGTGATGCAAATATGCAGGATGCTATTTGAATTGCTTGTACTAACCGGTGCTCAAATTGGATCAGATTGGACTTCAGTCTTGAAGAAACGCCAAGCTTTTAGGTAGGTCCAAAACCCTGAATTGGTTTCAAAATTCAAATCCGGAAAGGAGAAATCAAATAAAATAATCAAGCTATATATGTGAAATAAATGCAGGGAGGCCTTTTCAGGGTTTGATGCAGAAATTGTAGCCAAATACAGTGAGAAGAAGATGACATCAATTAGTGCTGAATATGGAATAGATGTGAGGCAAGTGCGAGGTGCAGTAGATAATGCTAACCGAATTCTGGAGGTGAAGGAAGCATTTGGGTCACTGGACAAGTACTTGTGGGGTTTTGTAAACCATGGGCCTATAGCGAGCCAATACAAGTCATGGTACAAAATCCCAGCCAAGACCTCCAAATCGGAATTCATAAGCAAAGACATGGTGAGAAGGGGGTTTAGGTTTGTTGGTCCTACTGTCATTCATTCCTTGATGCAAGCAGCCGGTCTCACAAATGATCACTTGCTCACCTGCCCAAGACACATTCAATGTGTGGCCTTTGCTAAGTGATTAAGAAGCCATATATATATATATATAGGGAATTGGTCATATAATCACTGATTAGGATTTTCGTATGTCAATTATATGGAATTGCAACTATTGATCTAAACTTTATATCCAAACAACATTTGGATGCCAAAAGTTGGTATGTTGGTTATCTTTGAACGATCTTGCCCATGTGCTCTCCCACTTTTTTCTTTTTCTTTTTCTTTTTTCATGCTTTTTTATGAGTGTAAGTTGACATTCCCAACAGCATTTTCTTGTTATAGGATTCCTTCGTTCTCTTTTCTTTTTGGCCTTTTGTCCAAGAGAAAGCAAATTCTGAAAAATGCCCCATTTCTCTCCCAAGAAAAAGGTGTCTGGCAAGTGATAAGCTAAATTCACTTCAATAAGAATATTAGTAAGTTTAAGTAATATAATAATGAAAATAAAATATCATTTCAAAGAAACAATTGACTAATTAAGTACCAAAATTAATTAATTTTAATTTTATTTAAACAATTACAATTAAATTATTTGAATAAAGTAATTAACTAAAACAATTAAAGGAAAACTATATTGACTTTAAATAATACCAAGAATTAAAATTCTAAAGCATTCGATTTCATCATAATTAATCAATATATAATTTAGATTAATATATTATTTATTATTCATATGACAATAAAATTTCTTGTATTATTTGATATATTTTCTCAAGTTATACCAAATTTATCTTTGCATATACCGCTATATGAATTTAAATAAATAAAGATATATTATATTTTATGAAATTCTCTAATTTACATAGAAAATTAAGTTTACTTATCACTAATATTGCACAAATCACATTGGTCCATCTTTAGCTTTCATTCAATTCATAGTATATTAGTATATGTTACTAAAAGTTATTATATAAAATCTCATCTCAATTTCAATTATATTCTCTAAATCAATTTTAATGGTGGCAAATCATTAAAAACCATTAAAAATAATAATATATACTCTATATTAAAAATATTAAGAACAATAATATTATATTCTATATAAAATAATAAATCTTAAAAATATAAAAATTATGAAATTTTTTATTAAATTGACCAAGCTACATGGTAGCCTTAGATGGCTAAATTAATTTATAATTAAAGAAAAAAAATCAATAATCTCATAATAAATATAAAAATATCTAACATTATAAAATAAAATTTATAAATAAGTAAAATCAATTTGATGATGTAAAATCTCAAATTTTGATATTTTTCATTATTGAAGTCCTCTTAGCCCGCCTTTCTCTTGGTCTCCTCTCAAAAGCCCCAAGTGTGACTTATGAAACCGTATTAGAAAAAAATTAGGACTCGGGAGCAAACAAGAAACTTTGGCTGAACGTGCTTTAATGCATGTTATTAACACTATGAATTATGTGTCGACACTACAACCGTGTCGGATTTCTGGTCTCTTTTTGTAATTTCTTCAAGGATAAAACAGCAGATCTGGTCCTCCAAATCAATGAGCACTTTGATCCCATAACTTAAGATTCATTCATTTAGGTTCCGACAAGCAACTTTTTTCTTACAATTCAGTCTCTCAACTTTTAAAAGATATTCAATTAATCTCAAAAACTCCTATTATTATGTATTTAAGTTATTTTCTGTACACAAAATGAAAACTGTATAAAATTTATTGAAAATCACATATAATTATTATAAATAGTAATAAAATCAAGGTTAATATAATAGATTAAAATATATAAAATGTTTCTTATCAGCAAGTTTGCTGAATCACTTGATCCACTTAAAAGTATAAATTAAAAAGAGTTGCTTAGGTAGTGTCACTGTGTTAGTGAGTAACTAGTGTGCGGATGTGTGGCTCAATAGATGGCCCA